TTATATATATTTATAGTTAAAATTTATTCCCATAGGGTGCATATTTATTAATGTAAGTGTGTGGGTCAAAGGGTAATGACGTTTTTAAGGCTTTTTACATATATTCTGTCAAATTGTCCCCAGAAGTGCTGGAGTAGCTTAACATTTCTACATTTAATAGCTGAAGTTAATATATAGTACAGCGTAGCTAACAGTAAGTACTGGCATTCTTCTTAATCTTTGCCAGTTTATAACAAGAAAACATGTAGCTTTTAAATGTCTCTTTATGACATTATATGGTTCACATGCTTATTGGCTATTTAGTATTTTTGAATCATCTGTTTATATTTTTGGCCCATTATCTTTTTTTTTCTTTCTTTATGTTTAGATATTTATTGAGCTCTTTATAAAGATCTTAAACCTGTCATGTACAGAGTCTGCTAAAAAAAATGTATACATCAGGAAAAGAAAAACTTCTATAAATATTTTAATACTAAATTTATTGAGTCATCATGTGATTAACACAAGTTACCTTTGGCCTCTACAATTACAAGAGGTGCTCAAAGTGGTGTCTTATTAGCTTCCAGACATTTATTAGTATGGGGAACTGCCATTTACTGGCAGACTGCACATTATAAATATGTTTCCCAGTTTATTTTAAACTTCATGATTTTTTTCCCCAAGGCAGAAATTTAAAGCTTTATCTACTGGGGTTTAAACTGAGTTTTTGACATGGTCCAGGTCAGTATTTGGCCCCCCTTTTTTTTTTGGCAGTACTAATACTATGGATTGAACCCATGGCTTTTTATATACTAGGCAAGCACTTTACTACTAAGCTACATCCCTAACCCTTTTTATTATTTTTTTTTAATACAGTCTCACCATGTTGCTCAAATTGGACTCAAATTTTCAGTGTCCTGCCTCCGCCTCCCAAGCAGCTAGAATAACAGGTGTGCACCACTACTCCCAACTGTATTTTGACTTTAGGTGGTCCAAATTCAGAATATGTTAGAGGATAAAAAGTCCCAACCATGAAGGGAGAAGTGTATCCGAACTTTCCAACTTGACTAAATAATATACTTAATTACTGCATACTTAAGATTTAGTTTTTAGGGCTGGGGATTTAGCTCAGTGGTTCCGCCGCCTGCCTTGCAAGCGCAAGGTTCCAAGTTCGATCCCCAGTACCAAAAAAAAAAATATTAATAAGATTTAGTTTTTAACACTTGAAGGTTTCAGTTAGATTCTAAACACTCATAAGAAAATGACAAATAAAAATTCATCTTTCAAAAAAGCATAAGCCTATTTGCTAAAATTTGTATCTTCACTCAGATATTATATAAACAATATTTTATAAAACACTAATTTCAGGAATTTCATATTAAAGCCACTGGCATTTTTTTTTTGGCATTTCTAAGTAGATTAAGCCTTAATTTCTAAAGTCCTGAATTAGAGTCCAGCAAGTTGTGACTATGGGAGTGTTTCAGCTCTGTTTCCCCCTGGAATGATAGCCTGGAGTTGGATGATCATTCATCATGGCTACTCGGTAGCTCATGGTCAAGGAGCTGTGGACAGAAGTAGCTTCTTCGTACTTCCGCTTTATTATGACTATAAATAGTCTTGCACTTCTTCATCTTGAATTTCAGAAAAGCTAGAGTATTAATGATGCTCATTTTGAATATTTTCAGTTAAAGAAACTGAGTTTTGTGAATTGTTGTTTTGTTTAATCTCTAGAATGCTTCCTCATGGGTGCTATATAATATGGCTTCATTTTACTGGAGAATAAAAAATGAACCATATCAAGTAGTGGAATGTGCCATGCGAGCACTTCACTTTTCTTCTAGGTAAGATCTCTCTTCATCTCCTAACTTTCCACATTACTCAGGACAGTTAAAGACATGAGACATAAGAAAGTAACAGCACTGCATTATACTTACTCTCCTCCATGTCTCACTGAAAGTAGTTAGTCCCATCACAAAAGTTCAAAGTGATAACTGTATAATAATTATACTTTCCAATTTCCATTACAGAAGAAAAAATATATATAAGGTAGATGCCTTGTGATTCACTTGAGATCTGCATGCGAGGACCTTGACTGGAGCAATTGTCATAACTTTAACTTTTCTTAAAAGCCCTAAATGAGTTGTAAAGTGCCTGCCAGACCCTAACCTTTGTGGCAAGATTTATAATTGTCAGATTGACTAAGCACCACCAATAATTTACAAATGAAACGTCATGATTCTGACTTTCTCAGAACCTTATTTTCTAAGTAGTTTTCTTACAGTGATTTTCCTGAGCCTAGTGTGAGCTAATTCTGCATAACCATGAAGCACATACTTCTTTCCTAACATCTAGTTACATTTCTCTTCTTTTAGGCATAATAAAGACATTGCCTTGGTCAATTTAGCTAATGTTCTACACAGAGCACACTTCTCTGCCGATGCTGCTGTCGTGGTCCATGCAGCCCTGGATGACAGTGACTTCTTCACCAGCTACTACACCCTGGGGAACATATATGCAGTAAATACTCCTTTTGTTTCATGAGCTGAACCAGTTGCTACTTCCTGGGGTTTTTGTTTTTTGGGGTTTTTTTCCTCAACAGAATGTTTCTTTTTTCCCTTCTTTTGATCTGGACAGTGGAAATAAAGAAATTAAGGGGATCAGTCTAATACTGTATCATAATGGTCCTAGTCTCTTGACAAAAAAGAAAAATAATTAAACTGGGCAGGTTGTGCCTTCCACCTATAGCGTGCCTTCACATAACTGGGATTTGGTCACTGATGAGAGTAATGTTCACTGTAGAGTGAAATGTAGATGTAATTTCATAAATCATTAGGGGTTTCAGCAGATGCAGTGAAGCCCTGGCTAACCTCTCTTCCCCCGTGTGTGTGTATTTTTGTCTCTTCAGATGCTTGGGGAATATAACCACTCGGTGCTCTGTTATGACCATGCTTTGCAGGCCAAACCTGGGTTTGAGCAAGCGATAAAGAGGAAGCATGCTGTCCTCTGTCAGCAAAAACTGGAGCAGAAATTGGAGGCTCAACATAGGTAATTGGGGGGATCATTTCACCAGAACACTAGCACCCTAGATCCTCAGGTAGACCTAGAGGGTCCCTATGACTTCTGCAAGTCCTATTACTTTTCTCCAAATGTGTGGTTTAGCACAATCCAGTGTTTGTATAGAGAATGTTTGCATTTAATTCTCCACAATTTTGACCATGAATTACGGTTACCAAGGTAGATGGAGTTGAGGAGGCTACAAGATAAAGTAGTCTGTTGATGACATTTTTACTTTCATAGATTATATTGTATCAGTAAGATCACATGTAATGCAATATTTGATCTTTTCCACCTCTGGCTTCTAGGATTAGACTGTTGTTTTGTTAGTTAAGTGACACTGAGAGACATTTGGCCCACATTTTAATCAGACTTGTGTATTAAATTATACAGTAATGGAATTTCATGTACTTGGACCTTGTGGTATAATTAATAAAATATGTTTGATTCCATAAATTATAGGGCCAGATAAAAACTTCACATAACTTAAAAGTGAATTATTCATTTCAGGATTAGCTTTAATATTTTGAGTGTATTTTGGTTATTATAAGATTAAATAGAGATTTAGAGTTCATTAAACTTTTATATTTACATATTTTCCAATCTGCTTAAGCATAATATAGTAAAAAGAAGAGAATGATAACTTGCTTATTTATGTCAGGCTTCTTTTATACCTACTCAGATCTTATCCTGGTTGAGTTTCTTCCAATATTATGTTCTTAATAATTGAACTTACTTTTTTTACACAATCCTTATACATCCTAAATCTCCATATGTTACATTGTAATATAGGTAATAAGGTTTTGGTGACTTAATTGGGTAGCTGATTTATTGAAATCAGGTGGTGAAGAATATTTCTATGCAAAGTTTTTGAAGTTTTTCCCAAAATCTGTAAACCAAGGAGCCAGAGTGTAAAATCAAGGTACGATGGCCCTAAATCCTACCTGTCTTTAGACAGAATCAAAAGAAAAAGAAGAAAAGGATTTTAGGAAGGCTTTGAATGTCAGTGAAACTAATACAAATTTTGTGGAGGGAAATAGCATTATTAAATATGTCTATGATATATTGTGATTTTTATTCATGGCGTTTACCCTTTTTTACCTTTCTTTAACCATGTGCTTTATTTAGCCACTTACTTAACAGTGCTGAGGATGAAACCCAGGGGCTCACATATGCTAGACATGCACCTTATCACTGAGCTACAATCCCTGACCCTAAATTTATCTTTTAGCTGATGTAGAAAAACATAAAATTGTACACATTTGTGGGGTACCATGTGAAGTTTCAATACATGGAAACTTTGTGCGATGTTTAAATTAGTGTAAACATACGTATTCCACCACAAAGATATGGTAAATATTTGATAGAGTAGTTTTGTTGATGGCTGAAGACAAAGGAAGCATCAGAGGAGCTGGTTTTTGAGGAGAACCACAGTTCAGCTCTGACAAGAGCTGTGGAGGGCCCACTTTGTCTGCCTCTCCAGCCTGCTGTCCCAGAAGCAGGACAGTGTGGTGTGTTTTTTATGGCAACTGAAAAGTCCAGGGCACCAATTTGACATCAAGATGGTCATCTTTAAAGGAAGGGTTGTGCCTTCATGTTTTGTCCTCAAGTAGAAGAATGACATTTTCTTTATTTAGCCTTGTTATTCTTGAACTTGTACAGGGTTTTGGATTAAATAAAAGGAAAAAATAATTACTGCAGAAACCAGAAATGCTGTGCATCTAAGTAAGTTTTAAAAATTCGTAATTTTAAAGATCTTTTTTTCTGTTATTGAAAAATGTGAAGATCCCTCCAGCGAACACTAAATGAGTTAAAAGAGTATCAGAAGCAGCACGACCATTACCTGAGACAGCAGGAAATCCTAGAGAAGCACAAGCTGATTCAGGAGGAGCAAATCTTGAGAAATATCATCCACGAGACTCAGATGGCAAAAGAAGCACAGTTAGGTAAGTGGTAGCTCCACGAAATTCAAGACAGATCAGGAAATTCATTGCAAGCATGGTTCATTCTCATAACATTCACTCAACCTTGGAGGAAGGAAGTTGCGTTTATGACTTCCGTAGATCTTAAGGTCAAGACTCATTACAGTGATTGCACAAGCAGGCCTGGGAACTGGTCGGGTTGCCTTTTTGTTCACATATTGAAACAAAATCCAAGTCATTTAGATTTTTAGAATCTTGTATTTCTACAACTGTAATCAGTCTCCAGGAGATCTTGTTAAAATGCAGATCCTGATTCATGGGCCTGAGGAGGGGCCTAATATTCTTCCTTCTGAAGGAGCTTGCACATCTAAGAGTGCTGGTGGTGTAAAAACTGCCCTGTGATTAACAAGACCCTGTGCTGTGCAAACACAAGCCAGGGACACACATAGAAATAGCACATACGTGCTATCATGAAATCAACCAATAACAAATGCTGGCGGGGCTGTGGGGAAAGAGGAACCCTGCTCTACTGCTGGTGGGGGTGTAGACTGGTGCAACCACTGTGGAAATCAGTATGGAGATACCTCCAAGAACTAGGATTGGAAGTCCCATTTGACCCCGCTATTCCTCTGCTGGGTATCTTCCCCAAAGAATTAAAGGAATCATACCACAGTGATATAAGCACACCCATGTTTATAGCGGCACAGTTTGTGATAGCTAAAACTTGGAAACAGCCCAAATGCCCATCAACTGGAGACTGGATAAAGAAAATATGGTTTTAGGGCCGGGGATTTAGCTCAGTGGTTCTGGCGCCTGCCTTGCAAGCACAAGGTCCCAAGTTCGATCCCCGGTACCAAAAAAAAAAAGAAAATGTGGTTTTTTTCTAAAATGGAGTACTAATCAGCCATAAAAAATGAGAAATTAGAGACATTTATAGCTAAGTGGATGCACATTGAGGCGATACTCTTAAGTGAAATAAATAGGACACACATGTATAAATAACGAATAGTTTCTCTGGTGTGAGAAACTGAAAGTGTAAATAAGGACTAAAATGTATAATAGGTAATGTGAAATAGGAAGAAAAGGGGCAAAGGGGAAGGAAGTGGGAGGGCTAGGGGAAAGGATAGAAGGGAATGGGATTAATATGAGAAAATGGAAAAATAGGAACAAAATCTTTGTAAATAGGGAGAACTGGAGGGGTTGAAGGGAGGGCTGGGCAAGGGTGAAAAATAAGAACCAAGAGAGACAATGTAAAGGTGCAAATTTCCAATGATGAATGTCATTATATTGTATACCTAAAATGTACCAATGATTAGAATGAATAATCGATAATGCAAAATAGGAAGAAAAGGTCCAAAAGGGTAGGGGTAGTGGGAGGGGCGGGGAAAGGAAAGAAGGGAAAGGAAAAATGCTGAGAAATGGAAAAAATGGAAGTAAAGTCTTTGTAAATAGGGAAGGGTGGAGGGGGTGAAGGGAGGGCTAGGAATGGGGAAAAAATAAGAACCAAGATGCATTATGTAAAGGTACAATTCCCAATGAGAAATGTAATTGTGTTGTATACCTACCATGTACCAATAAAAGAATTTAATAAAGTGCAAAAAATAAAAAAAAGAAATAGCACATAATGTGGCTAACCGGGTCAAGAAAGCTAAACATCTTTTCTTTTTTCCCTTATACTCTTAAAAACAAACACCGTTGTAGAAGATTTTTAAATTAGAGTTTGTGTCTGGTGAGAATTCCTAACCCGGCCAACAGATTAGTTTCAGGGAGTTCTGAAATCATTTCCAAAATTATATGGAGTTGTTTATGAACAATTTTTTTCTGGAAAAATGATATATAGCTGTTATTAAAAATCTTAGGTTTGTGATCCAGAAACTATAACCACTAGTGACCCCAAAAGGGGAACTTTAGTTAGCAGAGATCATCAATGATTTGGTTATAGCCAGAGTGTTTCATTCAGATTAAATCCCAAAGGATCAGATCTGGCAAGTTGACACCAGGGAATAAATTACTAGGGTCCCTTAAATTACAACCTCCCTTGATAAACACATTGGTCTGACAAGCCTCTTAACCCTTGAACCTTGGCCGTGAACATTTTATGATCTATTTTGAGTATAAAGAATATGTTCAGTCTTTAGATGATTTATTGCTGTTCTAAAATGTAATCAGAGCTCTTATATATAAATTTGAAACAGAATTAGGAAATATATAGGACACATTCTCTCCAGAGACATAGCCAGAGTCCTTTCAAACTACATAATCAATAGATTTTATAATCATAGAGTATAATTGGCACAAGATACCTCGGTGATCATCTAGGGGAGCCCTTTTGTTTTACAGATGGAGAAACTGGAGCTTCTTTGGAATTGATTTAATTAGTAGTAAATTCCTCTATATAAATACCGTCAGAATAAGTACTGTGCTAGGCTCTGAGGTACACAGAGTTGAAACAGAATGACCTGGACTAAGAAAAGCATGTGGGTATTGCTGACCATGTTCATTGTTTGTGTAATTCTTGTCTTATTTCAGGAAATCATCAAATATGCCGGCTGGTCAACCAGCAGCATAGCTTACACTGCCAGTGGGACCAGCCAGTGCGCTACCACCGAGGAGATATCTTTGAAAATGTGGACTATGTTCAGGTCTTTTTCTTGATCTCTTCTGCTGCTTAACTTTTGCATATCTGAGAATAATACCATGTTTTCTTCCCTTGATTTCTTGTCTATCTGATCCCTAAAATTTGCATCATTTAAATCTTTAAGATATTTAAGTATCTGTTATGTTTTTGAAGTTAGATTTTGTCATGAGTACTCAGTTACTGCATGGATAATGCTGTTTCCCGAAGTATTTCTGTAAATGTGTATGCATATGTATTTGATTCTTTTCTCCTTTCCCATGGGAGCTAGAATTGAACTGTTATTAATATTTAACTCAAAATTTTTATCTTCCCTCTGAGCCTTTTATAGTAAACCTACGTTAAATTTGAAAGAGAGCTATCTCTTTCCTGAAGTCATCAGTCCAGTTAATTTGCCTCAACCAGAAACATAAAATTATCATTATCTACAGAAAATGGTTATTGAGCACCATTGCTAGATGCATACCTCTGTCATCTTTTGGTCTCTCTACACACACACACAGAGTATACATTCACATCCACACATACACATATCTGTACAAACAACACATGCACATCTGCCTGCACACACACCTCCTAGCCTATCTGATTGGGGAGAGCTAACACATAAATACGATGATGCTGAATAGCATGAAACTGTTGCTGATGCTGAATAAGTCACACAGGGAATGAGCCCAACCAGAATTCCAAATCTCGTACAAAAAGATACTGAAAATAAAACAGTATTCATACTGTCTTAAGTAAGACCTATCATGCCCTATCATAGATACAGAAATTTCCAGAGATAAGCAGCTTAGGAAAGAAATCAGGAAAGCATCTATGGGAGGATATATCACAAAATATAGAGCCTTTTTAATCTGAAGAAACCCAGACTTCTTTGGGAAAGAGTAAGAAATTAGCAAGCCACTTAAGAAAGGAAGTAGTAATGTGGCTCAAAAGCTTCCTCTGATTTTTGTAAAACGGTTGCTAACACTGTCTCTTTGGTTTTCAAGAGAAGGAATAAAGGAAGGTCAGATTTACAAAATCAAGGACTGTAACTCCCTAACTAAAATCCAAGCATTTTAAGGAGGGAAAAAGAAATGTTTAAGAAGGAAATGGATTGAAGGCCATTGTGATTTTTGAATGTTTTTATGGTTTCAAAACTGTCCTGTACCAGTACAGCTTCCACCACTGTATAGTGAAAGAATATTTTCATTCTTTAAGGCCTAGAGCTCCAAATTCATCATACTCATTTCTTTTTCTCATGCCTTTCCTACTCCATTCCATCCCCGGTCCTGTTCTCCTTCTCTAATGAGGTTTCAGAAATACACAAGAGCTGTGGTGTCTTACAGTATATCAAACATTTTTTACCTTGGTTTAGAGGAAGACTGTATGTTTGTGTCTTTTCATTTCCTCATTTTGTCCACACCTTTAAAGCTTGTATTTGGAATCATTGACAAGAGACTATAATCTCTAGATGACAGTTACAGTAAACCCTTAAGAATGCTTTCTTCCTTGCCTCCACCCACAGCACACTAATTTTATAGAGTAGTAATCACTTTTGTCGAGGTGAGCGAAGGGCATAATGAATGGAATATCTAAATGAGTTAATCATTAAACCTAAAAAGCAATAAATCGTAGAAAGGAAGTAAAGGAACAGGAAGGTAATCCATGCTGCTTTTCTCATACTGCATTAGCAAAGTTGACTGAAAATCGCTAACCGTGCAGTTTCCGTGAGAGACTACTGCTGAGGCATAGTTTTTGGTTTTTTGGTTTTTGGGTTTTTTTTGCGTACCAGGGATCGAACTCAGGTCCTTGAGCTTGTGCAGCAGGCAGTGAAACCACTGAGCTAAATTTCCATCCCATGCTGAGGCATAGTTCTTAAAATTAAAAGAGCTGGTTACTTCATTGCTGACCTTCTTTCTGATTTCTTACTCATCATGAATATTCAATAGCTTTTTTAAAATTTGAGTTAAATCTTGGTCATAACTCCTTTTCCACTCAGAATTGGATTGAGCTTTTCTTTTCATTTTCTAGTTTGGTGAGGATTCCTCAACATCCAGTATGACATCTGTGAACTTCGACGTTCCTACAAATCAGAGTGCTATCAGTGGTTCAGTCAAGTCTTCCCCCGTAGCCCACTCTGTTCTCTGGGTCTGGGGCCGGGACTCTGATGCATATAGGGTAAGTTTTTACAGGATGAAAAATGATTTTCTCCAACAGACAAGACCTCATAAAGCAGTGGCTCTCAACCCCACTGCTGAGCATGGCCCCATTGCTGTTACATTTAGTGCACCAAACATTTATTAAACTTCTAACAAGGAGAAGGCATCTGTTTGGTGGGAGATATAGCCTCTGCCTTGAGTTCTTCTCAATCAAATGTGGCAGGTAGAAACACGGGTTCAGTTCATAGCTTTGCATTTTGAATGCACACCTATAATTCAGCAGTCAGGAGGCTGAAACAGTAGGATCACGAGTGCAAGGCTAGCCTGGGCTACATGACGAGACCCTGTCTGTACATTGCTCTGCACTCAGAATATAATTACCAACTAAGCTCGACCTAAGTATACCCTTGTACATATTTAATCAGCATTCTTTTATTGTACTCCCACTGTGTGGCTGGCTGGTTCTAGGAATGTCTTAGTCAAGTTCCTTATCTCTTGCAGCTTACAAAAGATATCTGTATCTTCTAGTGGAAGATACAGTGAACAAGTTGACAGATACTCATATTTAGGCTAGAAATTATATGTTGGCTGATAGCAATGCCAAGGTATCAGGACAGAGGCCATGCTTTTTATTCACTATTAAAATTTTAGAACTTATTTATTCTAACAAAATTTAAACAGCCACTTAGATTTAATTATATAAACTCCTCAAAGTTTGATAGCTTCAGTATATAATTTTAGCAGGCCTTTGGTATAGTTATTTATATTTAGAAAGATAAACATTTTATAAGTCAAAAAACAATTGTTCATTTTGGTATTGGCAAAGAAAAATAGTTTCCTGTGCCAATTTTACAGGCATATATGTCCTTTAGTTAGAAGTCACAAACTGTACCCAAAATTGACTTAAACAAAAAGAAAAATTGTCCTTAATGTGGAAAGTCCAGAGGTGGGGTAAAACTTTAGGTTTGGTTGACTCTGGGTCAACAATATCATCAGTGACTCATTTCTTTCCTTCTCTTCACTGTGCCATACTTAGTATGGATTTCATCAGAAAACTTGTTTTCCTAATGATCGTAAGATGACAGCACAAGCAGCAGCCTGAACAACATCCTTTTTGTTCATAAGTAGCAGAAGAAAGTAAGACTTGCTTTTCTTTCCCAGAAACCCCAAGCAAATCCATGTCTCACTGGCTTAGCTGGCTTAGGTCCACCCAGCCTTCAACCAGTCTGTGGTGAAGCAGATGGAATGACTGGTTTCAACTGAAAATCTGCAGTAGAAAGAGCACTATGGAATTAATCTACCACAGTACATTTATCTTAAAATGTTTCTGTTCAGTTACCCTAATAGGCCCAAATTCTTTTAGCAATTTATTTAGCATGTTAAAATAGTCAATCTAAAGAGGTTTATGAGCAGCTTGCTTTCTTTCTTAGGACAAACAGCATATTCTGTGGCCTAAAAGAGCAGAGTGTACAGAGAGCTACCCCAGAGTCCCTGCTAGATGGGAATTGCCAACGTATTTTCTGCCTCCGGAGAACAAAGGACTCAGGCAAGTGCTGATGGATTTGGCAAAGCACCTGATTCTGCATGGTTGGCATCTGGCGGTTCTTATAGAGCACCAGCCTTGGACTTGAAAGGTTAAGTCTTTATCTTGAACTCACTCAAACTTTGAAAATATGAATCTTGTTCCTTTTTCTTGTGCTAGGATCCACAAACTCAACAGTGAGGATTATTCTTCAGAAGAAGAGGCCAAAACCCCTGGCTGTTCCATAACTGGCGTCAGAAAAAGCCACACTCTGTCCTACTTAGTCAGAGAATTAGAGGTCCGCGTGGATCTGAAAGACAAAATACCAGATGACCATGCACGAAAAGTAAGGCTCCCTTAGGCTGGTGTTTATTGCCGTCCATTCTGGGTGACTTCTGAAGCCGCTTTGATGCAACAAGAATTTGATAGAAGACCACTGTAGAGCTTTATGTTTATAAAACTCAAGGATAGAGTTAAAGAATTGAAATGATTGAGAAGTCAGTCGTGCTAATAAGGGAGTGCCAGGCAAGTGTTCCTTGGGACTGCTGTTGGCATGGACCAACTGAGCAGCCTTTGTTCCTCTAACCCAGAGGGTCCACAGAACAGCGCAGAACCCTTTACCTGAAGGAGCCCATCTTACAGAGGCCATTCTGACCCCTTCAGTTCAGCTATGTGCCCCTCAGTCCTCCAGAAGTCTATATAAACAGAAAGCTTGAAGGTTCTGTTCCCCTGGCCTTACCAGCCCTGCTTTGGCCATATGAGGTCCTTAGGAATATGTATCAATTTGATAGCCACTCTAAAATTATAAGTAAGTTCGGTTATGCTGTTTTCTTTCATTCATATTATGTATGACTAATAATATTTCACTACAGATTGTTGATCTGTACTAGATACTGTTGCATAGCCTTTTACTGAAAAACACCCATCATGACCACCTTTTTAAAAATTTCAAAACTATAAGCCGTTACTAATATTTGGTAAACATTTACTGAGGCAAAACATACCACTTTCCAGCTACTGTTTTGTGTATTTGGAATACAGAGGCAAGTAGACCATGATCTTTGCATTAGAGTTGCTCACAGTTATCTAAATACTACAAGAACATAAAGTAGATTAAGGGAAATTTGGTACTTTCCAATGAGGGAAGATAGATTTTTATCAATTACAGATTGTCCTTTGAATAATTTCTCATTCGGTTCTTGACACTTAGGTTGACTATACTGGGATAAATTACTGTGTATGTGTAAGTGTATGTATGTGGTTGTGTGTATGTGTGTGGGTGTATATTTTTTTTAGTTAAAGGAAACTAGTGCATACATGTGAGCAGGTCAACAGCTGTTGGTATGTCAGTGAACTCATGTTCTATATATTATAAATATCTATTCAAAGTAACTGTTTCTAAGCTGTCCTTGTCCAGGTAAAGACTACCATCCATAGAAATTCTTTTTAAATGTTCAAATGTCTTCCCTTTTTATTTTCAATTGAGTCAGTCTTCCTTTTGATGTTTTCAGATTTTGCTTTCCCGTATTAATAACTATACTATCCCGGAAGAAGAAATTGGGTCTTTCTTATTTCATGCTATTAATAAGGTGAGTCATTTACTTAGGACACCTGAAACTTACACTGCTTAGTAATTTTGACTAAAAGTTAAAGTGTTCTTATTAAAGATCCTATTGAAGTACTATATTTTTTAACTAACGGAAGTGTTTTGGTATTTCCAGCCCAATGCTCCTGTCTGGCTCATACTCAATGAAGCTGGGCTCTACTGGAGAGCAGTAGGAAATAGCACTTTTGCTATTGCTTGTCTTCAGAGGGCTTTGAATCTAGCTCCACTTCAATACCAGGACATTCCTCTTGTCAACTTGGCCAACCTTTTGATTCACTATGGCCTACATCTTGATGCCACGAAGCTGCTGCTTCAGGCTTTGGCCGTCAATAGCTCTGAGGTGAGGATGGATGGATTGTAGTTTCACATTCTATGAGGGGAGCTGTTTTACTGTACAATTTCTATTTTTCTAGAAATGGCATAAAAATGTCATGTTTTGTTCTTCAGAGCAGAATTTGCGTGTTTCAAGAGTGAACATAAAATTTTTTTGTCTTTTTAAATTTTAACAAGTAAAATTTATAACTACACAGTTAACTTTTTAAAGAAACTTCTATTTAAAAAAGAATGATACAGCTGTAAAAATATGCTGCCATCTTTTTATGTCAGTTAGAAATACCTGGTTCTTATTTTATCCTCATCACTGTGTGCTAACTGCTTAATATATATACTATTTTACAGTTCTAATTTATAGGTATATTTATACCATCCAAGCCAGAACACAGTTTCAAAGTTGTTTCGATAAGAATAAATAGGTAGATTAATATTCATGCCCTGAACCTCCCACACAGTCAGTAGTTCTAATATCAAGGGCACCACTTTTCTTTTTTCCCCTGTACTTTAGCATGTCTGAAACCAGGATGCATAACTGTTGTCATACTGAGTTTGATGAAATACAGTTGTAATAAAAATAAATTAAATCGATCTCACTTAATGCCTAAAGGTTTATATGTTGTTATCTGTAGAAACCTTTGGAAAGATGCATGAATTGTTTAGGTTTATTTAAAGTATTCCAAAAGTAAAATTTTAAGTGTGAAAACAAAATATTGCCTGTTAAAGATTTTCCTTTGAGGGCCAGGGATTTAGCTCAGTGGTTCTGCCGCCTGCCTCACAAGCGCAAGGTCCCGAGTTCGATCCCTGGTACCAAAAAAAGATTTTCCTTTGAAATACATAAATTTGGATTGCAGGCAAAGTTTACAATCCCTGTACACAAACTCACAACTGGATTTTAGGCAAAGCTTTAAAATGTCTGTTTAATAGGTCAAGTTCCCAATGTGCACATCAACTGTTTAATGCTTACTATGTGCCAGTTGCTGGTACAAGAACAGTTTATACACGTGTATAAAACATGGGATGTGATGAAGTAGATGTCTAAATGGAAGGCTCTGTACAGCTGTATTCCTGTGATACCGCTTAAAGTTCACTTTCCACTGCTACCAGCCAAGGCCGTTAGGCAGTACTTCTGTGGAGAAAGAAGAATTTCCTCAGAAAGCTAAAATTTTAGCTATTAAATACAGTGGTGCTGCAACAAGAATAAAAAGACAAATCTGTGGATCAGGGTGGATACGTCAAAAATACACCTTTACCAGCACTTCCTCCCCAACTGTCAACAGTAAGAAGTACTAATTGATAAGCGTGTCTTCTATGAAAATATTTCATAGTCTTGCAACTTTACTATACTAGTGACCTTTAAAGCTTGTTTTATTAATAAATTTATTGCTACATGATTTTTAAAGCCATCAATTTAAATGGCTGTAGAAAAATTCAATGGATTCACATGCCACAAGTTATTTGTTAGGTGCTAACAATGCTTAGCTATTACCAGTAATAGGGTTTTCTACGGGATTATTTTTCTGTATTCCAGATACTTTTCTTAGCTAAAATTGCGAAGTGAGATTGCTAATCAGTAAAAGAATGAATATTTTGTTAGCTTTGTTACAAAATGCCAAGCAGTCCACCAAAAAGTTTGGGCCATACGTATTGCTGTGATTCAGATCTACAAATACTCATTTCACCTCTGTCTTCAACTGAATTGGACAATTGAAACAACTGCCAACTTTTTTAGATTTTTTTTTAAGCTAGGGCCAGATACTATACCCAGCATTTTGCATTTAGTTATCATAGCAACCCTGTGAGATAGAATTGCCTCTTTGGTAGATAAGGAAACTAACAGGAAAATTATGGGATTTACTAAGTCACAGAGCTTGGATTTGAACTGAGGGAAACTGGTCACAGAGCTCCCACTCTTGAGTGATGTTATACTGTCGCTCAGTTAATATTTATAAAACAAATTTGCTTGTTTAAAAATATCACTTCTCTGTTACAATTTTTTACCTTTCAGTCATATTTTTAAAGGTTTACATATTCATTTTATTATTTTATTAAAAATTAAGTTTTGTATGAAAGCTTTGGACAATTGTTTTTTGTCGTGTTAAAAATATTTCCTTTGCCTTTTTATCTTAGCTTTTAAAAATTATCTTTAAACTATTCAGTCTCCTCAATTTTGATTTCTGTTGTATTGTCACAAGAACTTGAAAAAATTCTTATTTTGTTTTTGTTTCTATAACTTGATCTTAGTTGTATCTCTTCAATCTAAATATACACCAGCTTTATGGTGCACTAGGTATTATAAATCCAAGGAAAATTAATACAATATACCCCACAAAAGATATTTACAATATTCCTAGTAGCTTTAATCATAATAGCCAGAAGCTAGAGGCAGCCCAAATACCAGTCTATAGGAGAATGGATGAACAACCACAGTATAATCATACAATGGAACATTACAAATCATTTGGGAAGAAAAGAATGAACACAAAAAGATCAGTGCATTTTTAATTTAGTGAAAGAAGCTACAAAAGGCTACATGATTTATGTGTATATAAGAGAACATGCTGTGTAATTCCATTTATATGAAATTCAGGAACAGGTGAAGTTAATTTATGGTGATGGAAGTCATATCAGCAACATTGGCTACTTTTGGGGTGGGGTTGGGTTAACTTAGGAACCTCCTGGTATTCTAGAAACATTCTAAATGTTTTATATCTTGAGCTCGAGAACTAGTTACCTTATGGGGATATATTCAGATTTTAAAAATTCATTGAATTGTTTAAGACTAGGATACACTATACACTTTTACAAGTTTTTGTCTCATTAAAAAGGTAAAAAATACATTTACATATTGTTACACAGTTTACAATTGGCTGGTGTAAATCAAATAGACAGTTGGCAGTAATCCTTATTGAGGTAACCTAAGAAAAGCCAAAAGACACACTGTCCAGGTTTTGTAACTCAGAAAATACTCATTCATTAACATTTTGCTGATACTTTGTTTACTTATTTTTTTCTTTTTAGCCCCTGACCTTTTTGAGCCTGGGAAATGCTTACCTTGCTTTGAAGAATATCAGTGGGGCACTTGAAGCCTTCAGACAGGCTTTGAAATTAACCACCAAATGTCCAGAGTGTGAAAACAGCCTGAAGTTGATCCGCTGTATGCAGTTTTACCCATTTCTGTACAACATCAGCTCTTCCATTTGCAGTGGTAAGCAGCTACTTAATGCTGGCAAAATCATGAGCTCAACTAAGAGTTCCTATTCTGACCAGCAGAACACAGAAAATAATTTTCTCAATCTTTCCCAAGGATTTTAGATAGTGTACTTCTGGAAACAAAGGGAAGCAGTTAATTCATTACTTAATATAGATACCTTAAAGTTTTATGACTTATTTTTCTCCTAGAATCCTGGTTAAGAAAGTATATAGTATATGCAGCTGGATTGATAGATTGTTTTTTTCCTCATCCCAAAAATCTGTTTAATGACCAGTATTCATGGTAAAGACTAGTTTTTTGCTTATGAAGCCCAAGTATGTAATAAGAGTTGAAGCAGTTCTTCAGCATACTCAGCCTCTAAAGTACAGCCCGTTTCCTTTCCATAAGGTGATTCAAATTTGGGCCTTTACTGCACCCTTAATATAGTTACCTGACATGAAAAGGTATCCCTCTCTCTTCTTCCTGTCTCACAGCTGAGGGTGCTTATGTGTGTGCCGAAGTGTGTGCATTTCAGCAGAGCTGATATCTAAACCTTCTGCAAATTCGTCTGTTAGAACCCTCTAAGAGTCACATGATGCCTGATTATTTCCACTATAAGGAGAAAAAGTGATGCACTTGACATTCTGTATTGAATTATGAGAGGTGCAGTTTACAAATAGTGTGAATCTTCAGTACCTGTCCATTGCTAACGAGGTATACGATAAAGGATGTTCAAATTAGGTTGCAATATTTAAGCAGAGATCTATCATTCCAGCTCCTGCACTTTGGATATTTAACAAAATAAAATCTGACACCCACTTGTTCATGTGACTTGACTAAAGAACACTGATATTTACTGGAAGATTTGGGACCAGAAATTGGTTTTCCTCATTCACTATACCAAACTGCCTTAGGATTTTAATGCACTGTTAAACAATAAATAAATGCAGTGCGGTACTTGCATTAAGTATCAGAATCCAATTATTTAGTAAAGAAACCAAAAATCTCTCAGCAATATAATGCATAGCTCAATTGTGGATTACTCTGGAGCACAATATGAATTAGATTTCTTGTATGAATACTCAAGGCCTAAGATGGTATTTAGCAAGGGTTACCATGGAGTAGCTGCCACTAGAATCACACAGACTCATGTTTGAGCCCCAGCTCTGCCATCACTTTCTGATCCCAGTAAAGTACATTAAAAACAAAGAAACCTTATCATGTACTTGTTGTAAGGATTGAATAAGATTTTTATCAGGTACTAGGTGTTAGATAAAAGTAGCCCATTAGAAAGTCATAGTAAATACAAAGTATGCAGGGCTTTAATGGTGAAAATTATTATCTTACTTAGTCCTGGAAAATACGTTCTATTAAATGTTGTAGGTCACCTGTGAACAATCTTGTAAACAGGATTTCACTTTTTCAAGGAGTTTCTTACATTAGTAGAAACTCTACTATCCTCTCACTCACTTCTCTTGGAATTTATTACCAGGTGAAATGATTTTAGATGAATATAGTCGTCTTTTTTCAGTTTGAAAAATCTTTCCTTAGCATTAGTTTTGCATCTTTTAGTTTAGTATTTCAATTTCTTAAAATTTATTTATTGGGGAGGGGGGTGATAGTGAGGATTGAACCCAGCATTTTGCAAATGTGAGGCAAGTACACTGCCACTGAGCCCTCAGCCCCTCAGATGAGTTTTTCAAGACCAAAAAATAGTTAAGTACTCTTGGAAAACTTCTCAAAAATAATTTTTCTGATCACTGTTGTTACTCTTATACAAATTCTCCTTAAAGATCATCCCTCAACCCCCACAGTTCTGGGCTGAACCCACTAGCAGTCGCCCACTGAGCGACAACCCCACCCCCTTTTAGCTTTTGCTTCGAGATAGGGTCTTGCTAAGTTGCCCAGACTAGCCTCCACTTTGCAATCCTGCTTCAGCCTACTGAATAGCAGGCATGTGCCACTGTGCCCTGCAAGATCTATGTTTAATGAATGTTTTCTAGCAAAAATTCTGTCAATTAGCACGGAATTATTTATCTGACAATTGTTCCAAACTTTTATTAAACTAGAAACCATATCATTTGTTGCTATTTATGAAATGCTTATGTTCTTAAAGCAACTTATTGTTCTTAACACTCTTCCCTTTGAATAGCATTTTTGAGACAGGGCCTTGCTATGTACTTCAGGCTGGCCTTGAACTCACTATATAGCCCAGGCTGGTCTTGAACTTGTGGCAGTCTGCAGTCCTCCTGCCTCAGCCTCCTGAGTGCTGGGATTACAGACATGCATCATCATGCCTGACTCATAGGTAGCGTTATATCACCATCACAACTTTCAGGATGCTGTGAAGAATTTACTAGATTGGCTTTTTAATTGTCCATTCAGGTTGTTTTGTTTTGCTTTGCTTTGTTTTGCTTTTTTTGGTGCTGGGCTGTGTACATGCTGAGCAAGTGCACTATCATTAAATAATACCCCAAGCCCCTCAAAATGTTGATTAAACATTTTATTTTGCTAATTTTGAAATAAATACTGTTTTTCACATTGATAGGTTTGTTTTATAACCTAATTTAACTTAATTTTCTTCAGTATTATTTTCCTTTTATTCAAGAGCATAAGACCAATGGTAGATTGTATTTGTCAGACTTCATTTACTTGAGATGTTTATAGGCATGCCACAAGCAACAGTACTGATATTCATCAAATATAACCAAGCATTCAACCCAGGATTTCTGAGCCCTGGTCTTTTGTTAGTTCACTGAGACATATGCTCACTTTAAAATGTTAGCCTAGGTGTTTAGATATTATGAATAAGAATTCTACAGAGAATTCAGCCTTTAATGTCTAGGTTTTCTTAAAATTTTGTGCAAGTTTTTTGATAACTTTTACATTTAGAGAAAAAAAAATTCAAGTCATGTACAGAAACCTTAATACTTGTTTTCTGTGTGCAGATGTATTAGCTTATATTCTCTTCACGGTTTTTCTATACTTATAGCGTCTATTTATGTAAACCTATCTTTTGTTGCAGTTTGTTTCATTAACTGTGTGTGGTTTTTAGTCTGTGTTCATCAGCCTACATTTCTGCATATTTATGTCTTACACCTTAAAGGAATTTAACATGGTGTTAAGATTTTGAAGAAAAACAAATCCTGCGTTTTGCTGCCCTCCTGTGGACTGTCCCTGGTATGCTACCTGCTCAAAGACCTTTGTTTTATTATTTTCCTTTTAAGAATTAGTGAAGATACTTGCTTACTTTTTAAGACAGTTCAATGGACCCAGCTTTGGCAGCATTATAATATATGGTCAGGCCACCTCCATTTAATTGTGTAAACAGAATTTAACTTTTGGTTAATTTATTGCAGGTTTCAAAATCCTGATGTGGGTGATACATCCTGCAACAAAGCCAAATATAACTCTTTATATATTAACTATCTAGATCTTTATACAGTCTTTCTTTAAAAGAGCTATAGTTACTTGATTAGCAGATAATTCTTTGACATATATCTATGGATAGAAAGGAAAATAAGAAAAAAATTGTTAAATTTATGGCTCTAGAAGCAAAGGTATGATTTACTGTAGTCACAGTAGAGCTGAAATTAAAATCTGAGTCCTCTGTCTTCCAGGGCCAGTGCAGTTCCCATGCATTAATTCTTTTACTCCCTGTAAGTTATAAACTACCCCACGGTCATGATTGGAAAAATCCATGTTTATAAATTCTTGGGACATTTTATGAAAGTGATACAATCACTTCACTTTTTATGTCATCCCTCAGAAGAGGTACACACATCCCTACATGAAACATGGGTCTAAATTAGGTAATGGGGGGCAGCCATCATGAACCCTAAAAGCACACCTGAATTAGTGTCTTTTACTCTAACATGGTACCTAGATCTTTTTTGAACCTTGCATTACTAGATTCCTGCTAGTGGATTGCCTTTGATTTTTGCACAGAAAATCTGATGACTCTACTTATAGTATTAGCTCAACAGCCAATATTTTTCTTTTGGATTCCCAGCATTTAGCTTTTATGAACAAAATAATTACCTTTGTTTTCAGACTTAGGATAATGTTTATTGTAGATTATTAACCTGGGCTAGAGGTGTAGCTTGATGGTAGAGGACTTGCCCAGCATGCAGAAGACCCTGCGTTCCATCCCACAGCACCACAAGAGAGAGACAGAGATTGGTTGGTTGTTAACCTGGCCAAACAATTATTAAGAAAAGTGAAATTTGGCAGTGAATGTAATCCTTAAGCAACAAAATATTTGTTTTCTTTCAACCAAAGGAGACTGGGTACAGCGTATTTCATTCAACTATTACTTACCTATTGTGTGCCAGTTTCTAGGAACTGGAAACCAAACACAAACCCCCCAACTCTTACGGAGCTTTATTCTAGTAAAAAGAAATGAAGAATAAAGGATAAACATAAATTATTTAGTATGTAAGAAAACTGTTTCAGGGAAGAATATCATCATGGGGGTGTCATCAAGGGAGGTCCCACTGAGAAAGTGACATCATGGAAAAGACAAAGGAGGTGAGGGGCTCCCAGCCATGCAAGCATGCAGTGTAAGAGCATTTCAGGCAGAGAGAACAGTTGCTACCGAAGCTCAGGTCAAGGAGTAAACAGCAAGAAGGCCGGTGTGGTTGTAGTGGAGATGTAGATGATGGCAGAAGTGAAGGTGGGGAGGATACAGCCACATCTTTACGATGTATGATTTGGAAGATTCCTCTGGCTCTGCCATGAATAGGTGTAGTGTAGTAAGGGAAGACACAGGGAGACCAGTTAGGGTGCTGTCGCAGCGGCGTCTGTGAGAGATGGCATTGGCCTGGCCAGTGGGCCAGGAGGGGGTGCGAAGGGGTCACCTCTATAGGGTGGGGTGGGGGAAATGAAAGAGAGGTCGAGGGGGCAGGTGTCTCCTCAGATTGGGACCTGAACACACGGTAAACCGGGTGCTATTTGATGGGCTCTGGAAGCCTGAGGAAGGAGCAGAGTTAGGATTACGGGATAACACTGTCACT